GTTGGTTATAAATGAAGTCGCCTTGAGAAACAATGAAATCCCTTATAGATACACCCCTTGAGAAGCACTTCATCCCACTCATTTTTCGCACAACACCAGCAAGCAACTCGTCAAGGCTTAAATCTCCTCCACGAGATTTTGACAAAACCTTATAAACCTCAATGCAGGCACTAGCTTTCGCATAAAAATGGTCGTAGAATTTCTTGTAGCTGCCAGAAGGTTTAAGGCAATCATAATCCGCGAGCTCGGTGGAAACCCATATAACTGGCGACCCATCTTCATAACCGGATATAGCCCATTCTTCAACCCGCCCAAATCCTTCACATCTGATTCCCTTTCCTTTATCTTTGTCAGCACTTTCCTCAAGTGGTAAGATAAGACCAGAGATAAAGATATCGTCAGCTTCCAGCATTTCAAAAGGCTGTGAGACTCCTTCTGAATTGTGAAAGGTGAAATCTGTAAGGCGTCTGCATGGGCGCCCATCTTCTTGTGCAGCGGTCAGACGAACAGCTACAACTTCTTCCTCCACAACTCCATCCTTTTTAGTTTCACATACCATGTCTTTTTTGGATATACGAAGAGATTTCTCCTTGAAATCTGAACAGGCAGCAGCTCGCTTTGGCATTTTACGTGAAACAGCTGGATCCTCGATGTTCTCGGAAGCAGTCCTCTTTTTTGGTTTTTCATCATTTGCCATTTTCGCCTTAGGTGCAGAAATCGCTTTATTTTTGCTATTTTTGGTTCCTGCAAAGATAACAAAATACAACTTTTAGATCAAGTCGGAAAGTGTATACTGAAAATTATGACACACAAATGATGCGGCACAAGAATAAAGAAATTCAGTAACCAATCTTTCACAATGGTCTATTTACACATCTCATAGAAGAGTGAAAAACACAGATGGAATGAATGACAAACTAATGAGATATTCTTATTATCATTCATTACTAACAAATTAAATTAGTGATTTAGTAGAAAAGAGGTTATTAAATGGCAAACTTTGGGTATAGCACAACAACACTGCGAAACAATGCCGCATAAAAGGAAAAACTAAACAGGAAGGCATGATATAATATTTAAGATTTCAAATATGATGAAGTTTCTATGAACAAACATACCACGTCGATTGTATAAAACTTGACCCAAAGAGCAAAATAATTCGACAAGTTCCATGATTAAATGCTCGTCACATTAATCCAATTTTAGTTTCTAAGATAGGCTTGTAAGACCAGCAAACTGTATTTGTTGATAACCAAATGTGTAGCACATAAATAAATAATTTACGTCAGCAAACATCGATCCATAATATATTCAACTTCCAATTTAAGTAAAAAGGTTAACATGTATGCATCGTTCTCCACGTGTCCGTCATGGACGAGAACATAGCCAGTCGCCATATTTATTTCCGTCATTAAAATAAATGGGGCCCACAGATAAAATGTACGCAAAAAG